CTATGGTTTATAGGACAAATCTACTGAAACACCTTATTCAGCTTCACCCTTTTCTCTCCCATTTTCTCAAATGGGGTTAATTTATTACGCACTATCTAACAATTTTTCTTCTGTGTAGTTAGTTTAAAGCATGACTTACATGCTTCACTTTTACAAAGTGATTAAGAATAGGTTATATTATGAACTATTAAATATATCAGTTTTTCAGGATAAGTGAAAATAAATAAATCAGAACAATGCTTCAATAGTTTCAAAACCAAATCAGAAAATCTAAGCAATTCACATCAATACACTCCTCCTGACCGTAATAAGCCAACTAACATGTCTCCTGTACTCCTTCTCCCTGTTTCTTATGACATGCTACCCATCTATTTCTGAAATTATCTTTTTAAAATCCATTTTATTTTTGCATCTTAACTGTTATGCATTCCACCAACTTGTTATCAGTAGCCCAATGCTTTAATCAGGGCCAGTGAGAGGCTTTTTATCGCTTCTCGCAGATAAAAGTTGCTGCTCGAGCTTTGCTCCTCAGTCTAAGCTCCCTCTGTCCTGCATGTGAGCTGTGTGGTGCCGTAAAGCTCCCAGCTCCTACTCTAAGAAGATCCATTCCCAAATGGAGCTAGTTCTTGCCACTGGAGCAAGGAATCTTTCCTCTGTGCTAAGTAGCAGCTCTTTGGTCTCACTGAATTCTTGCAAAAGCTTCCGAGCAGGCTGTCTCACGAAATACACTCTTTATTAAACAACCTTTCTTTTAGAGCACAAATAGTGTCTGAGCTAAATACAATTACTGTTGGAACAGACTGCCCAGCACTGAGGGCTGAACACTCACGATGCCTCCAGGACAGCTGCTCAGCAAAAGATGGTGACTTCCTTTCTTGCAGCGCTGAGTATGGCAAGATGTCAGAGACGCGGCCAGCAGCTCTGGCAGACGCAGCACTTAGAGAAAGCCTCGCCTGAGCACCGCAGGAGTAACGCACACCCGAATTTTGAAAGAAGCACTTCAAATGACAAACGTCTGAGCCACCTCCCTATTCATCTCTCTATTGACTCCCTCATCAATCAACTCAACAAATGCATCTTCCAAAGTGCCAACAAAGTTCACCTCTTCAGCCAATTTTAGTACAATCTAAAGCAAACTGATGATATGGCATTTAATAAGAAGACTGTTCTGAAATAAAGGCACCTATGTGCTCTAAAATGAGGATGAGAAAAAGGATGCCTCACAGGGGTTACCTGGTGAGGGTCAACTGAATGGGGTCTAAAAACATATGAGGAAGAGGGGGTAGGTTCTGAAATAATGCAGTGCACAGACTGGCTTTGTGAACAGTTCTTACCCAAGAAGTAGCAGGTTTTTGGAATGAGAACACAAAACAAGTTTTTTAAACAGTAACTGCAGCATTAAAAAAAGCAACATTCAGCTCATTAGAAAAAAGTACTAGCAGCTGTAGATAGTGATGCTGCATGTAACAAGAACACATACAACTAAAGAGTGCTCTAAATAAGATATGAAACCTCTTTAAAGTCCATTACTGAGATTAATGCAAGCTTAACAACTGGGAAGAATAAAAAAGATACCTAAGGAGCGTTTGCATTTTCCTTGTGCTTCACTATTTAATGCTCTGAAGCTGTTCCTGTTAACTTGGGCCCCCTTCAGCAAACCACTAAATCATGTGCTGAAATTCCATTGATTTCAGTGGGACTTAGACTTTAGCTTAAGTGCGTCACTGAATTATATATGATTTTTCACTGCACATTACTTTTACTTCAAATTAATAAGACTACTCAGAGCAATGCATTACTCAATATAAGGTACTCAAACCGCATTTTGGTGCTTTTGGCTTTTGGACAGGTGACATAATATGGGATTGGAAGCCTCACTACCACCTAACAGACAAAACTGATAAAATCTGACTACAAATAATGATATGCTTTGCACTAACAATAACACTTTATTTTCTCAAATAGTTTTCCAAAAGGAGGAATAGAACCACAAAGCATTCACATCATTAGAGTTCTCTATGGTCTAGGTCAGTATAAGAATACACAAGATTATCTGACTCCTTTCAAGATAATGTTATTTTCCATTATATTATATATTGCCAGATATCTTGCAATCAATTGACCAGGAGACTCTATGGATTATGAGAAAGAAATAAAAGTTGCATGTTATTTTCCAAGGATAAAGTATAATGAATACTTATTCTTGTTACATTTTGATGAAATGTAAAGAGACTGATCTGCACACACACATCTCTATTAGTTACTACTGTTATTTGTACTGTTTTCTGATATCATTAACTCACCTGCAGCTATTCACCAAGTCTCCCATATTTAAGGAGTCCTTGAATTGTAAAGACTCTAAAACTCATGCTCATGTGTGGCAGTGGGGAATGACCATAAAACCTCTTTCTCTTGCAGGATTTTAGTGTTTATTTTTGATCTTGTCCCGTACTATGTGGAAAATGAGTGAAAGGTTGTTCTTTTGGGAACAACTGAATCCTCTAACCCTCATCTGCCTGCCTTCATTACTGTGTTTTAGGAGAAATAAAGCTTGTACTGGACTGCCACTTTCTTCCCATCTTCTACTTCCAAAACCCTATTCTGATTTATGGATTTTTATACTACTCTTGCCCCTCATCTCCTATGCCATCTCCTTGTCATGTGATCAAAAGGACACTGCCAGTGAACTCACAGCAAGAAATGCTGTAGCTCAAGAACAAGTGTGAACTGTATGTCCACAAGGAAGAAGGTTTGCTAGCACAAATCTTAGATCTGGGTAAAGCCACTCGAGGGGAGACAAAAACAAGCATAGTTCTCAGGTCTGTATTATACACAGTCAAATTTAATTAGTATGGTTCCTTCAAAAAAGTCATTCTGAGATAATTGATAAGGCGGTACATACATGCAAATTCGATTTCCAAAACTTTTTAGCAAGAGTTTGTATGGAAAAGAAACAAAGATTTGTCACATATAAAAGCTGGTTCAGGAAGAGAAAGTAAAGAGCATGGTGAAATAGCCCATTTTCCTCATAGGAAAAGTTACCAGAAAAGCATCTCAGAATTTGATAGAAAGTCATGTATTGTTTCATTAACAATTTGGAAAAAAATTAGAAGTGAATAGAAAAATTTGCAGTTGACAGTTTTTTCCTATTACATATAAGAGGGACATGAAAATATAGCAATCACTGGAGCACAGAGACAGAGGTTAAGAAAGAAATTAAATACTTGCACGGACAACAAGAATACCCAATCATAACAATGGTTATGCAGAGTGTAGAAACATCAAATGATATCGCTAAAACTGTTTAGCTCCTGATATTTCAAATCATTTTTTGAGTTAACACTTTATAAGAAAAAAACATTTATGAGGTAAATTTGGAGTTACACTTTCATCATTTGAGATTATTTTACCCTCTGCATTTTTGTAATGTTAAAAGCCACACAAAGCACAGGAAGTTATAACAGAGAATGTTTTAAATCAGTCTAATGAAATATAAAACATTTTCACTGTGACCCCATATGATGCTTCTTTTAATCCAGATCAGTTCCTTGGTTGTATTTTCCACCCAGCTCTACCAGCAGTTGTGCCAGCACAACAGAAGGGATGGCACAGGGTGGAAACAGCAGCTGGGGGAGAAAGGGGATAAGGAGCCGGATCTGTATGAGCTAACCTTGCTGCTGAAGTGTGGCTGTGATCAGTAGCAACACACACAGATAGTGCTTGCTACATTAAGTACTATGTATAGTAGTGGTACTGCTTACAGAAATTCAGCCAAATGGGACAATTTACATCTGCAGAAAACAGTCTAAATCAGTGAAAGAAAATTAACAGCTGGATTTTTTTTAAAATACATTATGTAAACACACACACAAAGTTAATTTGAAGAGATTACCAGTGTGAAAATACTCTTACCAGCGTGAAAATACTCTTACCAGCGTTAGACAATAAAATAAGTGAAGTTCAGCTCTGAGCAAAAGTCACTCCTCTTGGGGAAGGAGATGGGCAACTGAAGGAGCCTTCACCTTCAGGTATAGATTCAGCAGCTGACAATGATTTGTAGTACTCATCCTCTCCATCAAGCACTTTGATTTGGCTTGAAAGAAAACAAACAATATTATTAATTTAAAAAATGAATGAATGCCATTGGAATCTTAAGGAATAGAAACTTCTCTGTGAATGAAAAGTACTAATACAATAAAGGAAAATATGTGTTGATTAGAAAGATGCAGCTTTTATACATGTTCTTTACTTCTATTTTCTTACTGTTATAATCTGGTTCTGAGTATCTGGGAAAGGCAATAGTCTTTGCTTTTTAGGACAACAGAAAGATAGACTGAATATTTTTATCAAATGTGTATTTCAGCTGAGCATTGTGGCTTCTTTATCTGTGCATATTCCATAAATAGGGTATGATTTAGATGGATGGGTTGCTATCAATATGAGCCAACAACTACAAAATCACGCCATCAGTTTCTGGGTAAAGCCTAATAGACATCAAGGGGCCTTCATTTTTCTGTGATGCATGGTGAGTGCTGTAGTCCATGCTAGTTTTTTTGTTCCCTAAATGAAATATAAACTTTTGTATATGAGGAGAGGGGAATCAAATCAAATTTTGTACAGTCATACAAAATTTTGGGCTTGACTCTTGACCCAAAGACCTGCTATTCAGTACATCAATCTTCAGAAGATGAATTAAAAAGAGAAAAAAATCACATAGAAAATTCTTATACATAATAGGAACAGATGCTTTTGTGAGATCCAACACCCATCAGTTCTCTCTGGCCTGTGTCATCAAGCAGTGAAATATTTTGGTGAGTGTGCAGTAGTCATTTTTGCTAACTGCATTCAGTGATTTCTACCTATTCTACCTGTTTTTATGTGATAATTGCTTATGTGAGAACAGGAGCTGCCTGCTGGCCTCGCCAAGTGGAGAAGCAGCAACTGCTGCCGGGCAGAGCAGCCCCTGTGCGAGCCCCTGGCACGAGCTCCTGAGGAGGCCTGGCGTGCGCTGCCGGCGCCGCACTCGGGAGTACTGGGCTTCTGCGCATGTTCTAGGTGACAGGCCTTCACTTTCAAATCCCTTCATCTGACTCCTGTCATTAGTGTTAAATACATTTAAAAACATAAAGAAGGCGAACTTTGTTTTTGTAGTAGGATTTTGAGAGCGCTGGGAAGCATATTTTGTTAGAATCAGTTCTAGTGTCTGCAGACAGCAGTGTATACAAGTTTTCTATTTGCATCTGCAGAAAATGCCCAATGCCAATGCACAGAGATATGTTAATTGTTTATTTTTAGAAACCTCTCTAGAAAGTTTTGCATATTCTGTAATATCACAAAGGACTTCTTCTGTTTACAGTTGCTTAGAACTAAGAAGATAGATATTTACCCAAGTTTTCTTGGCTTCCTCTTGCTCCCTTGATATTCTAGAGTTCCCTGTGGAGAGGGCCAAGAACACACAGTCAAAGCAAAGCAGCAAGTCGTTAATTTTTAATTCAAAGTGATTTTGTGTTGAATGCAAGCAGATGCTGATAATATCAGAAGTCACAGCATAATTTTTTTGATCAAAGGGCTCAAGTGAGCCTGATGAAGCATGCATCTTGCTCGTCTTTGATAAACCACATCAATTATTCACCGTGAAGGCAGACATCCTGACATGAAAGCAACAGATAAAGAGCATAAGCACATGTTCAAGACGAGAGCAGAAGAACGTGGGGGTGGGGCTGGAGGGGCTGAAACAGGTATTAATAACAGAATTATTAACTGGAAACAAAGCCAGTAAAACAGCTTTATTGCCACTTTGAACTCACATTTAACTGGTTATAGTACATGTTGTCCTCAGGGCTATTCAGCATTTTGGGCTGCTGACATCGTCGACGAGGTGTTCTCAGCTTCTGTTCAAGACAGTTTTCCGAACCTATAGCAAGAAAATGCAATTTAGTTTTAAGCTGTACCAGGTGCAGAGAGTATCTTAGTGCATTTTAGTCTGTAAACAGTCCTTTCTTCTGTCCTGTTTGGTCCTGGATTTATTAGCAAACCCATCCTATTCAAAGTGAGCACACATAAACTCAAGGATCCTTTTTTTCTGTTTTGATACTTAGTCCCAACCAGAGTTTTTAAAGAGAACTTCATTTCTACTTTTATAACATTCTTTCTCACTCTTCCGCATACTTATATCACACAGTTCCTCATTCCTTTCACTCTTTATCTTGGTATCTTCCATTATCTAAGCGGGAAATGAGGTATATTGTGACTACACAGGGATATGTCATCCAGGAGCTGCAAGTCCGTTTTTCTAGAGTTGACAGTAATAAAGCCCTTTGACTGATGAGACTTAGTCTATTGTCATCATTTTTATTACATAAATAAAGGCTACTTTTTGACATGGGTCTCTGTTTAATCAAAGTAATCGGACCAGTCTGGAATTACACCTTCTTAATATAATTTGTGATGTGCTGTAGACTAACAGTTGCTTAAAGTCATCTGGATAGCAGAGTTTAAAGATGAAGGAAATATTTTAGAAGGAATGGATTCATCTTCACGGTAAAAATAAAAATTATTTTAATGACAATATGAAAAAAAGAGTGTTTGGTAGCACTGAAGAGAAAATACGTAATATACAGATTACATTTGTATCCCATATTGCACAGGAAACTTGCTCCAAAGCAAGGGAGCAGCACAGGAGTTCCTTTAAGCACTTCAAAACTGAAGTCAACACAGCATGTGCGGAAGCAGCGCTCTGATCTCACAAATCCACTTTTAAGATCTGGCTTTAAGGGGGAGGCAATATTAGAGGAGGTTTACTGTACACTCAGCTTCACAGGCTGCAATTACGGTACTTTCCTGCAGTTACTGAGCAAGGCAGAGGAGGTGGTTTCACTTGGGCCTTTTCAGCCAAAGGAGTGTCGGGCTAAGAGACTTTCTCTCTTATTTTACGCCCCTACACAGCCCAGCTTGGAAGCCCCGTGCCTGCGTTCAGTGCGGGACAGCAGGGCCTGTGTGGGAAGTGCGCGCTCGTCCGATGCTCGCCCTCACGCTCCCTCAGCACCTGCAAGCGCCCACACACTAAATGGCCTCCAGGGAACCAACCGGGTCTAAAATACAAAAATAACTTTATAGAGAAAAGAGACGATTTTTTTTTTCCCAGTAAAACAAAATAACTTTTAAGCCATTTGCGCACAGTGCTTGCTAATTCTGATCTCCTAGGTTACATTTCTCTGCTTCCCAAGCTCAGGAAACCTCTGGGGGTTTTTGGTCGGCAGATGGTGAGCGCTGAAATCACCCTTTGCTGCTCACCTGTGCAGTACCCAGCCTGGCAAGCTGCAGGCTGTTTCAGAAAACATGCCTTGAAACTCTGGGGAAATTGTATGCTCAAGTAATATTTGAGTGTTTAGAAACATTTTTGGTGTAATATTTAGATAGGGTGAAATTTTGTTCCTTCTGAAGTCCCCTCCTAACTACCTGCTCCTTTCTACATGCTTTCTATGAAAATTATTCATATGGGTGCTAGAGTTCTCTGTCCAGGACCACAGCATTGGCCATTTTTGCCAGCAAAGATTTCATTCTCAAGGCCCAGTGAGTTCCTTTTCACAGCAACGAAACCATGTAGTAACCTCCTCAAATAATTTTCTTTTTTGTTCCAGCAAAAGGCTAATACGAACAAAGAATCAGACTGTCAGAGCTCCAAGTGACATCCCACACCTCTCTGCAGCTTGCCAAAAACAAATGCAAAGCACAGAAATATTTGAAGTATTATAATATGATAAGTATTCATTTTTCCTTTCCTCCAAAATGCTGTTGTGGCCTTCATGTTATTTTGCAAAATATCTATATGGGTATTCTTTGTTTTTAAAATGTCTTTCATTCACTAGAATTCAGAGACACTAACATTTTTCTCTAGCTTTTTTACTCTGACACTTAATTATTTCTGCATCTTCCATGTGTGGTCTGCAGCTTGTGTCCTCCAAAGGAAACACCCTTTCAGTGGGCCCATTTGTCTTAGTGCAGTAGCATACTATACGAACAGTACAAAATCTGGTAACATTTATCATAAACTACCATATCTGGAGAAAACTGCATTAACATGTGCTCAACACTCAGCAGTTGAATAGGAGTTTTAAATGGTGCTCCAAAATATTTTGCTTTGATGGCAAACTTAAGGCCACCAATGGGGGAAAAAAACCCACACTTGTCATTTTAGTAACAATAGGAGCAGCACCAATATCACAAATTGAGTATTGATTATATTGCACCCAAATTGTGCCAAGCACCTCTGATACACTCAAACTCCTGTGTTTGCTACAAAGTTGGAGACCAGATGGGAGGGCAAGCATGTGCATGTCCTTCAGCAACCATATTTTATGCCAGATATTTGTCTTCCTTTTGTCTGGAAAAGGGCTTTCCCTGTGCAACACCAAGAGCAGATATTCCTCGGGTTACAGTGTTTTATCAGTAAATTCCTTGCTGCAGTGCCGAAATAACACAGAATAGACACAATCCTTCCTACCAGGTACATGAGACCCACTGATCTGGCAAGAGTAGTGTGAACGGAGGTTGTGGCATCTTGCTCCTTTCTGCGCTTGAACCCAGTGCAGCAAATGGGTGACGGCAGCACTGACACGCACGGGTCTGCAGGCTGCCACGGAGGCTGCCCGAGCAGAACCCAACAGCAACGCTGCTCACAATGAAGGGCAGTTAAAGACTGGCAAATGGGTGGATCCAATGGACTAGAAAGTCTTTATAAGTAAATAAACAGATGGGGTTTTCAGTTACTCCTCTACTACCACTACTGGTCATCTTTTTTATTTGTCTGCTGTTTAAGAGCCCAAGACAACAGACCAGTGCCTTCTAGTGCTCGGCTGTATTTGAAAATACACCTATTTTCAGCTAAATGCAGAATCAAACTTTTCAGTTTTTCAGAACATGAAATTATGCAATTGGAAAAATAGTGTCTCAAGGACAGACTTGGAAAACATCATGGATGTTCTGCTGAATACGAAGTAGACTGGATGCAAAGCAGAGGAATACTCAACAAAAACAGGAAAAAAGGTGCTACTGCAGAATACAAAGTTGTTTTTAAAAGGGCGCTGAAAACACTCTCAGAATATTCTGAGAACAAAAACTGGAAATCCTGCCTTATAGTGAAAAATTAAGGAAGATCTTCCAATCATTTTATTCAAAGGAAAGTTAAATGACGACATAAAGCAATTCTAAATCCCTGTAGAGAAGGAAACCTTCTGATTGTAGGCGACTCTTCTCTGTAGAAAAGAAAGTTCCGAAGTGTCTAATAGCTAGAAGTGGAGAAAAATTCTGACCAGAATATGGCACATAATGAAAGCAATCAGCCAGAGGAAGCAAAATATTGAGCCATATGATGGCAACTTGAATCAACATTGGAAGTTCTTAGAAAATGTCTGCTTTGCCTCAAGTGAAAGTCAAAGACTTTTCATTCAAAATATGATATAGTTCACTTCTGGCTAAATGTGAATTAATTTCTCTAGTGTGATCTTTATCAAGAATCTCAATCTGCAAAAGACTGCAGATTGATTTCTCGGATATGCTTTCAATTTTGAGTTTCTATGCATCTCTTCTTTGCTTTATTATGGCTGATATAAATATTTTTCTTATATGAGTCATCACATCCAAGGATGACACTTTACTTGATATCTTTTGGCTTAAAGATGAGTAGTCCAGTTCATACACCTTATTTAGACGATTTTTCTGGTTAAAAATCTATCCTTTCAATAAAATAGCAATGGATTCTTTCAGAACTCATTGTGGTATTTAAAAATTGTGAACAAATATTGAGAACTCTTGAGGGGCAAAGAATCATCAGATTTTTCTCTCTGAAATTAAGCTGAGTTATTCATAAACTGTTCATGGATAAGACCTTGCCTCAGAAACCCATTGGTGCTGATAACTTAGCCGAACAATACTAACTTTTTCTACATGGGGATTTCTGCAGAGGAGATGGTGATGAGGCAGCTACAACTGCATTTGTAACTTGCAGTTGTCATTGGCTGAGCTGGTTCGATTTAAGCCTGGTGCAGTGCAGAGGTGGCCCTGGGCCCTGGATGATGACACCTTTCCCGCAGCACGAGCGCACAACACTGCCACACCATGGGACGGGCTGTGTTGTAGGCTCCCTTCTTGGAGGGACTCCCTCCCACGACAACACATATCAAAATGCGGAGCTGCGTACTCTCATTTGCTTTCTGAAATCCCTTACCCAAAGCGGGCTGTCAAATGGATTAACCTTTTCTCTTTCCTGTTAGAAGTGAACACAAACATAGCACTTCAAGGAAGGACACTTCTTGTCTAATCACTCAGACTTTGGGAGAACTATGGTACAAGGAGAAGGGGCAGTGTAGCAAAGCAAAGGTAATGGGGCCATTTAGAGGATCATATTTATTATTAACCAAGTAAGCAAATAAAGTAGATTTATTGGTATGACCAAGAAAAAGAATAAGTATGTGGATGATTTCCAATCTATAGTATCAGATGAAACATGAAAGTACAGCCCTTAATTATAAGCAAATATTAGCACAGACTCATGGGATCTCATCATAACATCTCAAGGTCTATGTTCATGAAAATTTAAGCAATGTTTAAAATCATGTTAATTTGTTCTTTGTTTGTTTCTTTTCCTGCCAGTCTAATTTATTCCAAAAGACTTTGGTTCTCAAGCCTGGATATATTGATCATGCCCATGTAAAAGCATTGTTATAGCCTGGGGAGAAGACTTTTGTGAAAAAACTTGTCTTTGTTCTCCTTTGATAATTTGTATGTATTCCGATGTTTTCAAGCTTTTCCAGTTTTGAATCATTTTTGAAGGCAGCAAGTTAACTTCATTTTTCCTCTTGAAGTCTCGGGCAAATGCAGAAATGACCTCACTGTCAATGATAATATACATCCTCC